GAGAGAGAGAGAGAGAATATCAGGCAAGGCTCTGATCCTAAAAATAATGTGTCATCGGGAACGCATCGGCAATGAAAATCTTTGTCGCAGATGACGTCTAACTGGGCGTGGTTGGTGCTGCTGCTGTTCTCGTTGGTCTCGATAGGCATGTGCCTGCCTACGAACCTGATGGAGGACGCCAAGAAGACGGACCAGGCTGTAAAGCCGAAATGTAAGATCGCGCATCCTTTGTCGAAATCTTTAAAAATCGCGTTCGAATTATCCTTTGATTTTGAATGGCTTTCAACTCGCTTTCCGTTCAATGTCCCGCAATATCGCTTTCAGCAAAACGAGCGCAGGAGACGTTGATGTTTGGCAATCAGCAGAATCGGCAGGCCAACGCTGCCGCTGCCGCCGCCACCGCCGCCGGTGGTGAATCTTTCACGTCAAATGCGGAAAAACGTAAGTTATTCGTTAATAAAATAAGATAAAACTCTTGGCGTTACGTACCGATGAATATTGTGCGAGGACCATCTCTCGGATTTATTTCATATAGGAACCCTCGCCGCCTCGGGGCTGGGAGGCTTAAAAGCGGCTCTCGCCGAGGACGATAAACCATCCCCGGCCAAGCCACCCAGCAACTCCATGTACGAACACGAACCGTACTCGCCGTACGACAAGAATTACGAGTGAGTGTATTTCTCGCGTCAACGTGAAAATAAAATTTCCCAGGATTCGATACTTTATAAAATCCGACTCGACTTTGGTGAACGTGATTTATTTCATGTTATAGCTTCTGATATTTTTAGTACTTAACAACCCTATTAATTCTCTTTGACATTCTACGTTAATTCTACGTTACTTTTGCTTTTTTTTTCGTTATTATATTTTGAAATTGATCGCAAAATCGACATTCGAAATAAATAAATAAGTAAATAAATAAATAAATTCAAATCCCAGTTATGGTAAGGTCATCGTGAACGAGGTCGACGAGGACGTACCGCGCGTGTGGGACACGATGTATTCGCAATATTACGCGGGCGAGGATCGTCGCAAGAGATCGGAAAAGTCCACCGCGAGTCCACGGTCGAGCACGACGCTGCAACCGCCGACGAGCTCGCTTCAAACAAAACGCCTCATGCCTGTCCCGGTGCCGACTCCAATCAAGAGGAGGTAAGTGGCCGCGTCCTACTTCTCCTAATTCTCCCCCGAAATCGATAACCCGCGGGGGCAACCGCGTGATCGATATTCCCGGGGGTAACCGCTGTTAGATTGCGGTAGGTAGCGAAAACCTCGGAAAGAAGCGAGGACAGAGGACAGAGGACAGCGGAGGCCTCATAACGGCCTCGTTCATTCCCCGCTGCGACCTCGCGATCGCGCGTTTATTTGAAGAACCGAAGAGCAAAATTGCGAAACGTTATTTGGTTAGAAATCGATTTGCGAAGAGGCTTAGTCTCTCGGAATTAGATCGGTATTAGATTGTCGTGTCCGTGATGAAATAATACAGAAAATAAAAAAATAAACTTTATGAAAGTTTTGACTCTCCCTTCCTCTCTTCCTTCTCTTCTCTCTTTCTAGAATAGTTTGTCTTTAACGTTGCAGAATTGTACGCGGGTTGAGTTCGCGAGACTACGGGGACCCCTCACGTAAAGCGCGAATCGACTCGGTGTACCCCGCTGCGCGGGGGTTATGCATCACTGTGCGCGCCCTTTCCACCCTTTCCGCCCACCAAGCATCCCTCTTTTCCTCCGGCGTTTCTTCTGAATGGGGATGAGAGGGCTCGTGAGGGCGTTGCCCTCGGCGCAGGGACGGCGGCGGTCGACTTGACGACCGAAGTCGTATCGAACCATTTGCAGATAGAGAGAGAGAGAGAGAGAGAGAGAGAGAGAGAGAGAGAGAGAGAGAGAGAGAAGAAGAGAAGAGAGAGAGAGACGAGAGAGAGAGAAGAAGAAGAAGTAGTAGTACGTACGTACGTAACGTAACGTAAACCGTAAACTAACGTAACGTAACGGTACGTAACGTACGTACGTACGT